TTCAGAGAATGGAATGAACTAGAATCTTTGAAAAATCTCAAAATTTGACAAAATGGCGGGCATTTGAAAAAAGTCATTTACCTAGTTACCGCCATTTTGTCAAATTTTGAGATTTTTCAAAGATTCTAGTTCATTCCATTCTCTGAACTATACTCTTCAAGAAACTGAGCCGATTTTCTTTCTAGGTGACGATTTGCGACCTCTAGGCTGCTCGCAGTTTTGGGAAGTACCCGCCGGGCAGCCGCCATATTGGACGCCATTTTGGATTTTTGGACTTGAAAAAATTCTCAGTTGTAGAGCAAGAATCAATAAAGATTTGACAAAAAACTCTTACCAGTTCCCTGGAAAAAAAAAATCCAAAGTTTAGGTCAATTGAACCGGAAATCCCCCTTAACGCATTAAAATGTTGTGAAACCCTACTCCATATTTTTACTCGTTTCTTGGGGTTCAAACAATACAAGAGAAACAAGTCATGGCATGCTAGATCTGCTAATTTCTCGAGATTTTTTTTTAATTACTGGTGATGATGATTTTCTAGTTAGTTCTAGTCACCTTAACCTCAATCGACCTGTGCACCAACTCTCAAAACATAAAAAATATTAAAATATTGCTTGAAATGGATATATGTATATCGAGTAAACAAGTAAACTAGTTGCAATACTTTCTGATCTTAAAGTAGGCCAAAGCAGATTCCTGCACAAGGGGTGGTCCCGCAAAATTGTTTTCGCTCAGGTCAGAGAAATATAAAGATTGACATTTTTCAAAGTTATATAGGGGAAATGTCGGCTTCGGCAATACCTTAACCTATAATCGTCAGGGGAGAAAACAAAGTCCTAGAGTACTCAAATTCGGCCAATAGATTCTTTAAAACACAATGTATCTACATGCCAAAATTGAGCTATCAAGTACATTGTTTACCCCCTTACGATAATAGAATAAGGTATTTCCGAAGCCGTCATTTACCCTATGATATTCATAATAAAAACAGCGCTATATTACATTCAAAATGATTTTCTTTTTTTTATCCACGGCCCATACAAATTTTATTTTTTTTGTATGGACAATTGTCTACGCAGGGGGAGGGGGGGTCAATAATCCAAAAAAACTGTCTACGTAGTTTATGAACAGGCCTTAGCGAGGGGATTCTGGGGGCCTATATTTGACGCAGCGGTTTACTTTGGTGAAAAAATCAAAATTGGTTTGTAGGAACTAGAGTTTAGGAATCTTTTAATAATGAATGCAGAAAATCCATTTAAACGGAGGCATCAGCATTTAACGAGGCTCAAAATGTAGTACAGTGGTTTGAATAGTTAAAACAGCAAAAAAAGGTTATCCTCCATTTAATTCCACTTAATTAATTTTGGTATCCATGGCAGATACGTATTTCGACTACAATGTGCAGTCTTCATCAGTGTCATTCCCACTAAAGAACTTATCAAAATCTAACCCCCTTAAGTACTCATCCCCTAGACTTTTTTACCTAGTGGAATTAAATGGAAGATAACCTTTTTTGCTGTTTTATTTAAGTATTTCGCTAACAACCCAATTTCATTACTTCACGGTTTGAATAGCTTATTTTTGTATTAGTTTTTATTAGGTAAACTGGTTTGAATTTCTAAACATGAAAAATTCGCAAATTCATATAAATTTTAAATAAAATTAATAGAAGCATCAAAATTGTCAATTGTTGGCTACAAACATGATTTATAAAATCAGGAATTTTTTTAAACTTTTGACCAGGAAAACAGGGATAAAACCTAATACCTAGTCACCCTACTTTAGGATCATCATAAAATGTGCGTACAATTTAGATCACATTTGGCCTTAATGATGCACATTTATAAGTGTCCAGATTTGTGAACAAGGTATCTGGATTTCAATGCCTCTACGGCAGCGGCTCTAACTTTTTTCGATTCCGACCCACTTTGAAAAATATTATAAATTCGCGACCCAACAATATTGACTACAGATGTTGTAAAGCCAAAATTACCTTAAAATTTCCAAACTAGCTTCAAAACGCCAAAAAATATTTATGAAAACACAACATTTATGCCACAATGGTCTGAACACAATGAAAGCGCCATCAATACGAATAACCAGTATTACAACTAAATAGAAAAGTACCTCAAATCAATGAAATGGTATAAGAAACTGTCTGCGGACCAACATTTAACGCCAAAATGACCTAGAAAATGTAAAACATAGCCTGAAACGATTTTTGAAAATGTCCTGAAAACTATCAAAACCATCTAGAAAACACCAACATAACCTTAAGGGGGTATTACACTTTGAACGTCCAAAAAGTAAGGCATTTTCGTTAATTTTTTTTAAGCAATAAAACACTCAGGGAGGGCAAATATGTTATAACCCATTTATTAGTCATCCTTCGAACTACAATTTGTATTTTTTTGAACTCGATTGGCGTCTCCCCGTGGCCGGTGCACCAGGTCACGCGGACGTCCTCGTGCGGAAGTCGGAAAACGGCGTGGGAAAATACTCCTTTCCATGTGATCCTGGAACATAAATCGAACAAAAATCCTGATTAGTAATGAAATTTGGGTTGGAAATACGTATTCCGATTTTTTTTTAAATTATTTTTTTCAAAAGTTGTGCCTTAAGAAAAAACAAGTCCATTTTTTCACCCTAAAAATGCTTACAAAATCGTGGATTAAAAATCAATTTTTGACAACATCGAAAATGTGGATACGTATTTCTAAGCAGAATTTAATTCTGAACAAGAAAACCTAGGCGATATCCAAATTTGATGATAACTGGTTAGAGTTATTTCCCACGCCAGTTTGAAAAACCCCGTTTCGAGATAAACGCGTTTAAATATAAAATTGCTCTCTCAGCACGCCGGTACATGTTTTAGGAAATCGCTTCGTAAAGCGGTAAGGAATATTCTGGCGGACTTGGAGTCTTTTCTAATTTAAAGTATACATCCCAAGGAACATTTTATGCCAAAAAAAATGCATTTTTTTTGAAAAATCAAAGTGTACTCCTCCCTTAAGCAATAATCCATGCCTCCACTTTTCGGTAATTTTTTAAATTGAGAAACTCTCTGGAAAAAAGTTTAAAAAATTAAAAAATTGGAAAAATAAATGAATTTCAAATATGTACTGACTTTGTACTGTTAACCCCATTTAATGACAAAACAAATGGTCGATTTTAATGATTTCTTGCTTGTAATGACAATTTAATATCGACTTTTCCAGCTGTTCAAAAACCGGGTAAACTTTAACCAACCTCGATGAGCTGAATTCATTGTATAGGAACGTCAACATATTAAAAATGGCCACAAAATAACTAAACTAACCATCAATGACCAAAATGGCATCAAAACACTAAAATGGCCTAGATTGGATTTGTTTTTAAAATCACAAAAACGGTCAGACAACTCTTATAAAAAAAAATTAAAAAGAGAACTGAAACAGTGTTGGCAAAATCAGAAATCAATTGATATTTTTCCGCTCTCATGCGCTCGCAATATCACGCGTGATATTGGAACAAAATATCATGCTTGATATTGATTTTACAAGCTCCTTTGATATTGCGAGACTACTCACAACGTGCAAAAATCAAGCTGAGAGTTGACTCGACACAAAAATGATTCCATTGCACATCATTTTCTTAGAAAGGGAAAGCATAGTTTGCTATCTCTTTTTAATCTTCACCGATGGCAGACGCGAAAGGACTGCTGCAAGCCGTTATGGAAGTTTCGGTTTCGGTTGCATTCGGGAGTAAAGCAAAAACCATTAGCCTCAATCTCGCCACAGTTTGGTGAGATTTGCAGTTGGTGAGTTTTGTTAGCTTGATATTCCGAGCTGCGATATCACAGCTTGCAAAATCAACCGCAGTTGTTTGCTTGTTGATTTTTGTCTACGAAAATCAAGCGTGATCTTGGGCGTTGGTGAGATTTGATTTTTTGATATTTTCCCAACACTGAACTGAAATATCAAAATGGTCCTAAAATGTCAAAAATGTCCCGAAAAAAGTAAAAAATGGCTTATAATATCCAAACTGGCTTGTAAACGGTTGTAAACAACCTAAATATTACCCAAATAACCCATTGATCACAAAATGGCATTGAAAATCGAAAATAATTTTAAAACGGCAAAGCATTTAAAAAAGTATGTTTCAACAAAATTGTATTATCCCAACGTAATTTTTAATTCAGATGAATTTTGCACGGAATTTTTAAACATTATCTGAATTTCCACGACCCACCTGGGAACAGCCTGCGACCCAACGGTGGGTTGCGACCCATAAATCGAGAAACGCTGCTTTACAGTAATCAAAATCGTTTCTCAAAATTATTTGGGGCCTCCCTTAGCTCAGTCGGTAAAGGCGCAGCTGCAAAGTAAGACCATGCTGAAGGTGGCTGGGTTCGGTCTAGGAATTTTTCTTATTGGAAAATTTATCGACTTCCCTGGGCATAGAGTATGATCAACAATCAATATGAAACTATCGATTTTAAATTGGCTCATTACTTGACTAGCCTATTGGTCCAAGCAAACGATTAACGTACCCCATTCTAGTTAAAATTCTAGTACTGCACAATGTTTGTTTTGATTCGCTATGAAAGTTTGACAGATAAAATGAGGGGTTAGTAGATTTTCTTATGTTTCGAGGGGTGAATCGATTAGCTTGGGACCGAAGAGAGTACAAAAATGAAAAATACAAAACATAAAACTGAATTTTAATTTGAAGTCCCAGATATTAGCATTTAGAATCCAGGTCGAGAAACTAAAAAAAATCAAATGCATTACAATTGCTTCCTAAAGACAAATTTAGCACGATCACGTTTCTTCTTGAACCGGCTTGCCCTGTATCTGCCACATATCCATTCCACAGTACCAAGCTGTGTTTATTTATTTACCATCCACGCGTTCTGCTAATCAGATCTGTTGCAGATGCGTATATGTATGTAGTTTACGACCGATCCGATCCCAACTGCGAGAACAAATGACTCACACACTGTCTTTCCCCTTTGCTTGCAGGGCGTCAACATCAAGCGCACCGATGCGTCCCAGTGGTGGGAGCTGTTCGACACCAACACCTGCCGGTTCTACTACTACAATGTGGCCTCGCAGAAAACCGTTTGGCATCGACCGCAGAACTGTGATATCATCCCGCTGGCGAAGCTACAGACCCTGAAACAGAACACCGATCCGGGCGATCGGAAGGATGGCGGCGGAGGGACTCTACAGCACCATCACAGTTCAAAGCACAGCGGCAGTGGTGGCGGCGGCGGCGGTTCCGGTACGGTTGGCAAATCATGCGGCCATCGGACCGGCACCGGGGTGATGGACTACCGGGATCGGGATCACCATCGGAGTTCCAGTTCCGGGCATCGTGGGGGTAGTGGCGGCAGTGGTGGTGGGCCTCACGATAAACGAAGCAATAGTGACCTGCTGGCCAGTCCACAGGGGAGGCACAGTCTGCAGCATAGGTGAGTACTGGACGAGCGATTGCTAGTTGGTAGGACAGTTAGGAGTGAAGTAGTTTAGATCGTAATAAGCTGTTAGTTTTTCGTTGAGGTCCTTTCAAGTGGAATGTTTGAATCCTGTGCTTTGCGGTATTTGTTTGTTTGTATGGCTTATCGAATTTGTTCGGTGGTCTCACTAGGCCATCATCGTCGTCATCCACTGTGAAAACCTCAAAACCTTCGTTTGCTACTGGAGTGAGATTTTTACCTTCTTTTCTGTTTCGTTTTTTCTCTTCTTTTCTTTTATGTATTTATGCTACGCACTTGACACAAAATCAACCACCAAAAAATCTTCTGTTCACCTACCCACCTGCCTTCTTCCTGGCGTCGTTACGTGTGACTTTCTGTGTCTAAAACAAAAACCAAAATCTCGATGTGCGCACCTAAACTACCAGACTACCACCCAAAACCACCGTCACTGATGCAGGGTTTTCGGTAGGCCGCACCGGTACGGGTGAATCTCATAAAATTTGCAGGCACGGCCACCCGAACTCGGGCACGTCGTCCCGCAGCAGTCACAAGTACCTGGACTCGGGTAAGTCCAGCGATAGCAGTTTGTCCAGTGCCCACGGCTACCACCACCGACGCATGCAGGACGGTGGCAGCCTACGGATAGGTTCCGGAACACACGGTAAAAAGCACACGGGTAACTCCGCCGGGGACAACTGGTAAGTCTTTCTCGCGCCCTTCTCCGGTGGTTGGTGGTAGATCTTTCTGGTTCTGGGAGGCTCAAATCATCCTAATCCGATCAACATCTGTCTCTGTTCTCGTCCCACTTTCACCCAAAGCAGCTACCGGATGCTACAGGAAAGTTCCAGCTCGCACAACATTCCACACTCGGTACCGTCGTCTTCTACGGAGAAGCTGGGCATCTCGTCACTACATCACTCTCCACTGCCACCACCGCACCAGATGCTATCGTACTCGATGTCCAACTCATCAGATCTGGCCGGCGGTGGTGGCGGTGGCGGCGGCGGAGGTAACCTGTCGTCTCCGTCGCACTCGATGAGCACTCCGCAGTTCAAGAAGAAGTTCATACACGATGGTATGGGCTCCAAGTCGGGCAGTACCGGACTGAAGGATGGTAGTGGACTAGTGTCGAAGCACGAGAGCTTCGACTATCCTGGAAGTGAGTTACTGATTCATTATTGACTTCCCATAGCAATTCATACCACTTCCACAATTGCAGACGCTTCATCATCGATCTCACTAACTCGCTCGGGGAGCTTCCTGTCTTCGGCGGGGATCACATCGGCTGGTCCCATGGTTGGAACTCCGGTGTCCGGGCGACCCTACCTTCATCACGCTTCGCCGCAAGCCGCACAACCACAGCACGGCGGTTCCTCCAGCTCGTCCCACAGGAAGGGCAGTTTCGATGGCAACAACGGCGGTGCCAGCGACGATTCGATGCACGAAAAATACTTCAAATCGGTGGAAAATACCCCCATCACCAGGCGGCGCCATACTACCACATCCTCCTCGAAGTCATCGTCCGTACCGCAGAAACACTCGAGCGATTCCAGTCCGCAGAGTCCCATTAGTCCACAGCAAGCACAACAACAGCATCAGCAGAGAATCCAACGGCCCTCGGCCTTGGCCGTAGAACTTTCCCCAAGTGCCGCGGTCGTCGTCTCCGGAAATGCCGGCAGCTACAACAAATCTAGTCAGAAAAGTAATGATTCCGAGCTGTTCAATCTGGACATTACCACCAAACCGGAGAAGTACTTGGATAAGATGAAGATCGACAAGGGCAAAGTGTCGCCCAGTTCGATTTCGATGGGAGGTGGAAGTGGACCGCAGACGGCCAGTCTGCAGAAGACTTCCTCCTCCAGTGGAAAGCTGTCTTCTAGTCAAACCGAAATGGCAGCGGTTGCCGCCGCCGCTATTCAAAAGACGGCCACCAGTAAGGATCAGTTTTCGTTGAATTTAAACAAGCCAAACTTGGAAAGACACAACAAGGAGATGCAGCAACAGCAGAAACAGCTAACGCTGGAGAAGAGATCCGGATCCGGATCGACGCACACGGTTGCCTCGAACAATTCTTCGTCGCACAACAAAGGTCCACAACCGCAGCAGCTGCAGCAGGCACTACAGCAACCGCAACAGGATAGGAAGAAAAGCAGGAATCACAACAACCAGGGAACCGGGTACGATTTCGACTACGACAATGGGAATACGTCGCCGCTGTACTGCAATTGGGATAAGGTAAGTGGACTGTAGGCCTAGGCAGTGCGAAACCTCTAATTTGTTCATCCTTCTTCCGCAGGAGAAACTCGAACACCTCCTACCGCTGCAGCACTACATCCTGGAGCAGGCGAAACTGTCCGGTTGCTACGGGTTCGGTGAGTTCCTCGATTCGGACTCGTTCCACTCGGACAGCCAGTCGGAGCACTCGTTTTCCGGTCACGAACCGGACAACGAAGACTCGGACCATTCCGATGGGCACGGCGATTACCTGTCGCACTATCCGTACGAGGAGTACGGTGCCTACCGGAAGAACGACGGCGGAGGAGGCGTCTCGTACTACAACTTCGATTTTAACTTTGGCGATCGCGAGGAGAAGGAGGATATGTAAGTAGAGGTTGAGGTAATCACGAAAGGATCGTTTCCAATTCAGCGATTTCTTTTTTTTTTCAGATCGGAGGAGGTTACGGCGAAGCTGGAGAGCATCCAGGATCAGATTTACAGCCCGGTGAAGAATCATCCGCCGCTGCACAAGTATTCACCGTTCCATGTGGCGAAGCAGAATTTCGAAAGTGCCGGGTTTGTTACGGATTCTGTGGATCGGGGTGCCTCGGCGGACAGTAGTCAGACGGGATCGCATCAGGGCCAGCAGAACAAAGTGAACAAAGCGACGCTGCTGCAGAGGTTCCAGGAGAATCTGCTTTCGCACAGTCCGGGCAGTGTGGGCAATAACGGGAAGATTGCGGAGATGGCTCTGCTGAAGGAGTGTGATATCGAGAAGTTTGCGCAGGACAATCTGAATCTTCACTCGAAGGGTATCTTCCGGAAGAAGTCATCCATCCAGGATATGCTGAGTTGGACGCCGAATGCCATCAGTAGGCCAATGCTTTCGCTGGCGAGAGACAAGGCCGGGAAGAAGATGGCCACGGAGCTGTTCAAGCTGGTTCAGATCTACATGGGTGACCGGAAGGCTCGGGTCGGGATGAGTTTGAACTCGGTGGCGATCGACATCATTGCGATGGCGATGGGTCAAGCGCAGCTGAGGGACGAACTGTACATTCAGATGTGTCGGCAAACGACGGAGAATCCTAGCCGGGACTCGCTGATTCGGGGCTGGGAATTGATGGCTATCTGCCTGTCGTTTGTTCCGCCGTCACCAACGTTCCAACCGGCGCTGCTCGGTTACATCAACAGGCACAGGGATCCGACGTTTGCGACCAGTTTTCCGGAGGTCGGTAAGTGGCCGATCCATGTGCAGATTTCGCACTATGCAACGATCGCTTGCCGGAGGTTGGATCGGATCGGCAGCTCCGGACGGAAGCAGGCGAAGAAGCCAACCGAGGACGACATCAATCAGGCGCGGGAGCAAATCTTCCGGGACAGTATGTTTGGCAACACGCTCGGCGAGGTTATGGAACTGCAGAAGGACAAGTATCCGGACTTGCAGCTGCCGTGGATTCAGACGACGTTGTCACAACAGGTGAGATGGGAGAAGGGGATGGGAGGGGGGGGGGGGTTACCCCCTTTGGTATAATGCCGTTTGGTATAACTGCAAGCGAACGTGCTTCGAGACTGAAAAGTGCGTTGCCGGACGAAAATTTCGTTTCATTGAGCGGAATTTCGCGTCTGTTATGACTGAGTTTTATGTCAAAATTAACGTCAAGATGTCAGTCTCAGAGCACCTAAATTAACATGTTTTTTTCCTATGTATGTACTCTTAGGAGTATTTGAAAGAAGATTTGAAGAAAGTTTCAAGGAAATTTTCAACGAAGTTTTGAGGTTATGGAGAATTTCAAGGTTGTTCCTGTAATCATCTTTAGAGAACACAAAGAATAGATCCTATAGGGAATTCTGAGCACATTTTTCAAGGCATTCACGTTTGAAAAATATGCTTTATTCGCGTTTATGCCAAATGGGGTGCACCCCGATTGGGGTTATTAGATTTTTGGTGAATCTGGATTGATGTTGGGATTGAATTTGCAGGTTCTACTGTTGAATGGAAAGCAAACCGAGGGAATCTTCCGAGTGCCAGCCGATGTGGATGTAGTTAACACACTAAAGAACCGTCTGGATTGGTGGGAGTTGCCGGAAAAAGAGGAAACTATGGGTAAGTAGGCAAAATTTTAGGAGTTCTTAGGATTTGACCAATTGATTTCCGGTTTTTCTGCTAGATGCACACGCGCCTGCCAGTTTGTTGAAGCTGTGGTATCGTGAGCTGTACGATCCGCTCATCCCGGACGACCTGTATGAAGATTGCGTAGCAACGGAAGATCCCGCGGAGGCGGCTGCCATTGTGGACAAGTTACCAAAGATCAATCGATTGGTATAACCTCAAACTTTCGTCGATTTAGTTTTCCGGATTTTCATAACACTTCCGCTTGACAGGTCCTCACCTACCTAGTGCACTTCCTGCAGCAGTTTGCCCTGCCGGACGTGGTCGTCAACACCAAGATGGACTCGTCCAACCTGGCGATGGTTTTCGCACCGAACCTGCTGCGCTGCCAGTCCCAGGATCCGAAGGTAATTCTCGAGAACGCTCGCAAGGAGATGGCATTCATGCGTACGCTGATCCAGCACATGGACACTACCAGTGTGGCGTACCTGGTTTGATTCGTCGTCTTTCTGGTCGAACTGCTCCGACAGACGACGACGACGACGACGACGCATTGTGCTTGTTAGTGTTCTGCGCGGTTCGAGTCGGTACCACGACGAACCGCGCACTGTAGAAACCCGTAGTCTTTCTGCTCGGGAAAGATGCCCCCCAAGAGTCAAATTGTACAGTTTTTGTTTATTTTTAAAGGAATGTATAGTTTTGTTTTTGTTTTTATATAATCGGGGTTTCGTTTATTTTTCTACCATGGAACAGGGGGTAACCAATTCGACGCCTGACGTATTTATTTCAATTAATTTCCTAGCAAGCCGAATTTACACGAAGATCTCATAACGGAATACTCTATCTCAGAATGGAACTAGGTTGACTTTTCAAATCCGGAAAATGTCCATACGATCAAATGAAAACATTTAACAAAAAGGTATAGAATTGTTCCCCCCTTCCAGTTGCAATACTTTCAGCATTTCGCAATCGATTTCACATTACTGTACCCTGAGTTACCCACAAGTAGAACGTTGTACTAAACTAGTTCTTATCAAGTCTCACACATGATTTCTTTTAAACTGATAACTGCAAATAAATCGAACAAAATACGAATCTTAAAAAAAAACTACTCACACAATAATGATAGACACGAAACATCACTACTTAATTTAGATTAACTTACTGCAAGGTTGCAAAAAACAGAACAGAGCAGAACAAACTACAAATCCTTACTACCAAGCCGGAATAGTAGTTATAAACGCTTTGAATTAAATCCTGAATCGTAGTTTCTCGAACGAAAACAATTACAATAATATCCAGAAGATGCCGAATATTAAACGTACACGAAAAGTAAACCCGCTTGAATATCAAAATTTGGAATAGCTGCGTCATATTTGTATCGAACTTTCGACAACTGCGAGCGAATGCATCCGGACAAGGAAAAACCCTGTATACGTACCATCTCGAAACGACAGAACCGTGTAGATTTCATTTATTTTTTGCGTTAATTCCTCCCCCCTTCACCCGATCGGGATATTTCCAGTCGTTGCTGTTTAGTTAGAGAGAGAGATAAGGTTAAAAGGTTAGAAACAAATTTTGTTTGAAAAACAAACAACAAACGCGAAGTGACGCTAGTGACTCGCGCAATCGCATAAACCATACCAAATTTTTTAATTAGTAATAGGTATTAGTATAACATATAATTTCCAATCTCTTTAGATATTAGGTAACAATTCTACACCACCCTACGGGAAGAAATTTCCTCCCCTCAATACTAAATTACCTTGCACGTGATACTTTCTACACCCCCCCCTGATGCACCCCTATAACAGTTTCAAGGGGCTTTTCTCTTCTTCTTGTTAGGTCTCTTTCTGAACTCTGTCTTCTAAATATTCTGATTTAAACATAAAAAAGAAAGCTGAGCTGCCATCCTAACTATTCACTACACTTAACCGTTTGTTGCGCTACCATTGAGAGGATTACGTAGTAAAAGATACCGTATCACATAGATGAGTTTAGTTAGTGCTGTTGATTGTTGAAAAATGTCTTCGCATCAAGTTTCCGATTTTAAACGAGACACATACTCTCTCGCACACACACACAAACACGGAGTCAATAGCTGAGTAAAAAACGACGAAACAATAAGCAAAGACAATTGATTGATTGATTTTTATTTTCGAGTTATTCTGAAAGAGAGGAAAGAGAGGTAATATAGGAGAAAAGGTTTTTGGGAACCGATAGAGGGGAAGTTAGAAGCTACACACTTATAAATATTTAAAAACAAAACAACAATACAATCAACTGCAGATAAACAAAAACGGCGGTGGTCGCAGCTAAATAACTAAACGATATTAGCGCTATTTATGCATTGGCATTCTCTGGTTGGTACACGTGTGCTGATTGATTCACACACAACTTTGCAAATAAACAAACAAAACATGGACGGAAGCTGAATGGGTCAACCACAAAAAAAAATGGAAACAACAACACAAGAAACACAAAGATAACAAGAAATAAAATCGTAAACTATTATAATCTGAGATAATATATAAAATATAATAAATTATATGAGAAATGCAAGACGGTCATCAAATTAAAAAAACCAATTGGACAAGATTTTTCCGGATAGAACAAAAAGAACATTCCTGTGTTAGTGCATAAAGGGTGTCCACGAACGAAATGGACCACCTTCGAGCGAGTATAGCCTTGCAACAGTGCAACCCAAAAATGTTAAAATTGGCTCAAAACAACTACTCAAATGCCCAACTAACCCAGCATGACCGGGGAAAATGTTATGGGCACCTGGGAAAAAAACCAAGAATTTAATTTCTTAAACCAGTGGCCACCCTGGAAATTGTTAATTAGCGAACATTTAGTATACACTGAAACAAGGACCATAGGTAGGAATACTATTTTGCAGAAAACACTTATTTTCAATATAATCACGCTAATTACCGTTAAATCTACTATGAATTCAATATAGTTGACTATGAGTGTTAACAAATTTACTATGATTCTGACAAAACTACTATGCTTGCTCAAAATGCATAGTAATTTTGATAGAAATAATAGTTAAAATCTCGCAGCGCAGAATATCGAGGCAGCGTTGCCAGCGGAGGGCGAGCTCGATGTGCCCTTTCCAGAGGACTGCTGGAGTACAGTAAAAGCAACAATAACCGACGCAGCCGAGAGCACCATCGGGTACGTGGAAAGAAGTCGACGGAATGAATGGTTCGACGAGGGGTGCAGAGCGATTTTGGAGGAGAAGAACGCAGCGCGGGCGGTAATGCTGCAGCATGGAACGTGAAACGGTATAAACTGAAGCGGAAACAGAAGACCCGCATCTTTCGGGAGAAAAAACGCCGCCTGGAAAAAGCGGAGTGCGAGGAAATGGAACTGCTGCTGTGCCGTTCCCAAGAAAAACGAAAGTTCTACCAGAAGCTCAACGCATCCCGCAACGGCTTCGTGCCGCGAGCCGAAATGTGCAAGGATAAGGACGGGAGCCTCTTGACGGACGGACGTGAGGTGATTGAAAGGTGGAAGCAGCACTTCGATGCGCACCTGAATGGCGAGAAGAACGTAGGCACGGGAGACCAGTGCAATGGAGGAAACGACTACGTAAGTGCAGCAGAGGACGGAACTGACCCAACTCCCACGCTGAGGGAAGTTGAGGATGCCATTCAACAGCTTAAACACAACAAAGCAGCTGGTAAGGATGGTATCACAGCCGAACTCATCAAGATGGGCCCAGAAAAGTTGACCACCTGCCTGCACCGGATGATAGTCAGGATCTGGGAAACAGAACAGCTACCGGAGTAGTGGAAGGAGGGGGTAATCTGCCCTATTCACAAGAAAGGTGACCATTTGGAATGTGAGAACTTCAGAGCGATCACCATTTTGAATGCCGCCTACAAAGTGCTATCATAGAGGTAACTCTAAGACCAGAAGGTCCCAAAGAAACGAGCTCAACTTTTTGGCTTAGCTCTGGTACTATCTTCGGTCCCAAGCTAATCGAATCGATACATAGGAATATCCAATAACCCCTCATTTTATCTGTCAAACTTTCATAGCGAATCAAAACAAACATTGTGTAGTACTAGAATTTCGGCTAGAATAGGGTACGTTAATCGTTTGCTTGGGACCAATAGGCTACTAAAGTGGTGAGCCAATTTAAAATCGTTAGTTTCGTATTGATTGTTGATATTACTGTGCAATTATTTTTTGCACAGGAGTCTAATTTGATGCAAAATGCGCAATACATGTTTGTAGAAAACAATTTCATTTAATTTTACTATTACATACATACATTTATTTGCACAACATCACATTAACTCTAACTCTAAGACAAGTAGGTCCCGAAGAAATGTGCTCAACTTTTTGGCACACCTCTGGTACTATCTTCGGTCCCAAGCTAGTCGAATCACCCCTCGAAACATAGGAAAATCCAATAACCCCTCATGTTATCTGTCAAACTTTCATAGCGAATCAAAACAAACATTGTGTAGTACTAGAATTCTGACTATAATGGGATACGTTAATCGATTTGCTTGGGACCAATAGGCTAGTCAAGCAGTGAGCCAATTTAAAATCGTTAGTTTCGTATTGATTGTTGGTAATATTTTCGCACAGGCCAAAAAATTTTAAAATCGACTTATTTGAAAGCAGAGTAACAGCTTTAGAACATTACTAGCAAGCTACACTGTTGAAATAAAGCTCTAGAAAGCATTAAGAAGCTCCATATTTAACTTTTATGACCAGTGCGAAAATATTACTAACAATCAATACGAAACTAACGATTTTGAATTGGCTCACCACTTTAGTAGCCTATTGGTCCCAAGCAAACGATTAACGTACCCTATTCTAGTCGAAATTCTAGTACTACGCAATGTTTGTTTTGATTCGCTATGAAAGTTTGACAAGTAAATTAGGGGTTATTGGTTTTTCCTATGTTTCGAGGGGTGAATCGATTAGCTTGGGACCGAAGAGAGTACCAGAGTTCCCTTCGTTGGAAACTAAACCCGGGATGTTAGAGAAGGACGTCCTCCATTTCTTCCATTTTAAGTGGCTACAACAGGTTATCCTTGGAGACCAAATTTTGCAGTTATCACCTACAAATGGATGGCTATCCTGCTTGTTGTTCAGCTGAAGTTTCTCCTTCGGGGGTTTCTTCTTTACTTGCTTTAATACAACGATGACGTTCTTGTTTTCAACTAGATTGTTCTTCTTGGTCATAAAATCCGGACTGCTGTCTAGGTGCTCCCGGTCTCGTGATCAAATGTGCGGTAATTGATGAGCAGGTATTTGAACCAACACAGTCCCATGTTGCTGTGCTAATGAAACTGAGCTAGGCAGGAAGCTATTACTGCACTTGGAACACACGCTCTGCGCCAAGCAGACCTAGAACAAGAGCAACAGATTTGAACAACAATTTCCCACAACGAATCAATGTCGATACCAATCAGAATGCTCATTCCATACGGGAGAGGATTGGTGCTAATGGACACATCCGTCCGATAGAACTGGCCAACTGGGCTTCGGCTGAACTGGATTCACTCTCATCCAAGCTGCTTTCGTTCTCCACCACTTAGAAATTGGAAAGTTTTCGAAGGAATTCACACGGTTCTACAAATGTGACCATTATTTTGACGCACTAACCGACTGGAATTTGGTATTATTTCCCTCGAGATTTACCATCAAAAGTTAAAAAACTTCTAGCAAGATGTCTATCTTTTTCCCGTTGCTAAAGTTGCATTTTTATATTTAATCTGTCAACGCGAAGAACAGCTATATACACTGAACGGATTATTCTCAGTTATTCTGACTTAGTATAATCAACAATCAATACGAAACTAACGATTTTAAATTGGCTCACTACTTGACTAGCCTATTGGTCCCAAGCAAACGATTAACGTATCCCATTCTAGTCGAAATTCTAGTACTACGCAATGATTGTTTTGATTCGCTATGAAAGTTTGACAGATAAAATGAGGGGTTATTGGTTTTTCCTTTGTTTCGAGGGGTGAATCGATTAGCTTGGGACCGAAGAGAGTACCAGAGCTGAGCCAAAAAGTTGAGCACGTTATTTCGGGACCTTCTAGTCTTAGAGTTACCTCTATGGTATAATCATAGAGGTAACTCTAAGACTAGCAGATCCCGAAGAAACGTGCTCAACTTTTTGGCTCAGCTCTGGTACTATCTTCGGTCCCAAGCTAATCGATTCACCCCTCGAAACATGGGAAAATCCACTAACCCCTCATTTTATCTGTCAAACTTTCATAGCGAATCAAAACAAACATAGTGTAGTACTAGAATTTCGACTAGAATGGGGTACTTTAATCGTTTGCTTGGGACCAATAGGCTAGTCAAGTAGTGAGCCAATTTAAAATTGTTAGTTTCGTATTGGTCCCAAGCAGTCCCAAGCTATTTCACTCACCCCTGCATGTTCTGCATGAATCCACACACCCCTGATGTTATCTGTCAAACTTTCATAGCGAATCAAAACAAACATAGTGTAGTAATAGAATTTCAACTAGAATAGGGTACGTTAATCGTTTGCTTGGGACCAATAGGCTACTAAAGTGGTGAGCCAATTTAAAATCGTTAGTTTCGTATTGATTGTTGTTATAACTCTGTAGTCTGAACGTACCATAACTTTGAAATACATTTTAATCGAAGCAATGATTGATTGATTAATTCTCGATAGAGCTGGAATTAGGGCCTAACAGCTTTTGTAAACAATGACTTCTCTCGAATATTTCTAGGAATTCAAGGTACACCCACGCAAACCAACATAAGCATCGGTTAGGGGAAGTCTTCCCCTACCTGATTGTGGTATTGATTTGCTTGGACAAGCATTGAGTTTCTAGAAATCATCGATAGAAGTCATTGTTTATAAAAGCCTTTACGCCCTAATTCCAGCTCTATCTAGAATTATTAAATGATTGAATTTTAATCTTTCTTTGTTTGTAATGCTTTTGAGTGTACGGTTGCTCTCAGGATAATATCCCATGCAGCATAAGCTCGCACGAAGCAGCCATACTGTGAATATCACTCTGAAGCAGCTTGACACATTCACTGCGCGCGCGAAATCCCCGAAATCCAAATCGATCTCAACTTGTTTACATTCCCATAGATCGCTTCGTTTGTGAAATCCGTGAAAGTGCCTTGTTATTTCGTGAAAAAGTGTCGGTTCTGCTATGAATTTGTAATTTTGTCGCAGCAAATGTCCATCGAATCCCTCCCACGATGGGTATAACCGGTTTGATTCCCTTCCTGGAGAAAGCATCCGGTCGCTTTCACTTGCGTGACTTCCGTGGCCAATGCGTCGCGATCGACAGCTACTGTTGGCTGCACAAGGGTGCCTTTGCCTGTGCGGATAAACTGGCCCGTGGCGAACCGACCGATGTCCACATTCAGTACTGTTTGAAGTACGTCAATATGTTGCTGTCGTATGACATCAAACCGATTCTGGTATTCGATGGCCGGCACCTCCCGGCCAAGGCTATGACCGAGGCCAAGCGGCGCGAGTCGAGGGATAGTTCGAAGAAACGGGCAGCCGAGTTGCTGCGCCTAGGTAAGACTGAGGAAGCCAAGAGCCACTTGCGACGGTGTGTGGATATTACCCACGAGATGGCCCTACAGTTGATCCAGGAATGCCGGAAACGGAACGTTGACTGTGTGGTAGCTCCTTACGAAGCGGATGCTCAGCTAGCTTACTTGAACAAGAAGGGCATTGCACAGGCTGTGATTACGGAGGATTCCGATTTGATGCTGTTCGGGTGCAACAAGGTGTTGTTTAAGCTGGACCTGACCGGAACTGGGTTGATTATCGAAGCGGAGAAACTATACCTGGCAATGGGTTGTAAAGAGGAGAAGTACACCTTCGATAAGTTCAGGTATATGTGCATCCTGTCTGGGTGTGATTACTTGGAGTCGCTCCCGGGAATAGGATTGGCCAAGGCTCGAAAGTTTGTCATGACGACGGAAGATACCGATATCCAGAGAGCACTGACGAAAATTCCAGCTTATCTCAACATGAGGCAACTGACGGTATCGGAGGAGTATAAAATGAACTTTCTGAAAGCGGATGCAACTTTTAAGCATATGGTGGTGTATGATCCGGTGGAACGGAAACAAATCCGACTGAATGATCCGGAAGAAATGGGAACCGATCCGGAGCTATGCTGCAATGCTGGGAACCTTCTGGAAGACGACGCTGCATTCCAACTCGCCTTGGGTAATTTGGATCCCTTTTCCATGAAACGATTGGACAACTGGCATCCGGACGATCCGAACTGGCAAGCGACGGGAGGTCAAACTTCCAACTGGAAACAGGCAGCGTTGACGAAGCATCCCAGCGTTTGGAGTGGTTCCATCTACGATGGTCGGAAGCCCAAGCGAATCGATATCTCCGAAGAGCTCACGACGGTACGGAATGTGTTCAAAGTGGCGACTGTGAGGCGACCCGTTCCAAATCCAGATTTTGAAGAATTGGAAAAGAACGAATCCATTGACGATGTACTGCAGGCGTACGGAATCAAGTCGAAGGATCAGCAACCTCCGCTGAAACGACTTTGCCTAACAAGTACTACAACCGTGAAGCAGCAGCAGAGGAAGGCCATCGATTTCGATGAAGTTCAGGTTTCGGAAGACAGGGCTGAGCGGGAGAAAAGTCCTCCCCGGAGAAATCCTTTTCAAGTAAGTTGGACTTTGGTACTCTAGTGGTGTATTGAAACTAGCGTTTGTAATTTTCAGGTCACCTCTTCCACGGCTTCCATCTCGATTAATCGACGATCGACGGAGTCAAACCCGCTTACGTCACCCATGAAAATCACCTCGGAAAACAGTTCCCTCCTGCGGCAAGTCAGTCCGGTGAAGAAGATCGCGTTCGACTCCAGGCCCACGCTGCAAATTCGCAGCAAAACGGAAAAGCTCAGCCGCTTCAAACGAACCGTTATTGCAAGCGATGGTCAAAAGGTCATCAGTCGATTTTTCTCGGCTTCCTCCTCTTCGCAGCAGGTGACCACCGTCATCGATTCAGATGATGAATCGCCACAGCAGCAGGAGCAAGAGGAAACGAGCTCGATTCAAACGGCCAACGTGTACCTGCTTTCACCGGACGCCAGAGGAGAGAAGACTCCAAAAAAGCAGCGACCTCCATTGCACAGCGGTGCCAGCTGCTCTCCAGCTCCGCCAGTAAAAGGGGAACGCAGTGTCGAGAAGTTGGACAGTGGTTTCGTGGATGATTCCGCGGCGGAACTCAGCTCGTCACAAAAGGAGAACGAATCTGACCAGGTGAAGCCGTCGTCCCGGTTGGCACTGTTCGTCAAGAAGGAACCGACACGGATGGGTGTTGGGGATACCGGGAAAGGGGAGATGACTGAGGGAAAGACTGAAGAAGCGGATATTGTAGAGATTAATGATGATGACGACGATGAGGGAGATGCGGTTGCTGTTCAGACGAAGATTAGTCCCAGTCGGGGACGCGTTGGAATTACCAGCAATAGCAGTAGTCAGAAAAAGTCTACCTGCAGACGAGTAGGACTGTCGCGGAACAAAAGTTCGAAAGACGTTGGACCAACTCAGAGTAAGCTGTCGATGTTTGGATTCCAGAAAAAGTAAGTGGCGAATGGGTAACTATGAATGTTTTTATAAAACTTTATTCAAACCAATTTTGATCGTTACAGAGTACAAATGAAGTGAACAACTTCAAGCTTAAGGTGATCATTACCCACTGCCTCACTCACTGCCCTTGGAGAACAAAAAGCATTTGAATTACGATAGAATATCAATGCAGAATTGTTTGTTGTTTTAATAAAATCATCGTTGAATTTTGTTTCAGTGTAAGTTAATCAGGTGTGTCATCTTATTGTGAAAATCCTATCAAACATCAATCTCTAGTCGAGCGTCACTTCTGATCACTGTTCTAATTTGGTATTACTTCTGTACTGGTACACTCGCTCGACTCGACTTACATAATAGCGGCCATAATCAAATGATTAAAAATTAATTCAAATAAAACATAACACATTTCAAACTAAATCTTAGGAACAACTGCATACATGTGTTTCTCCACTTCCAACTGGTTCATTCGAAACTTGACAGCCCCGGATTTTCCCCAGTCTTCTCCCAAGGAATCAACCGCCAACCAGTAGTCCATGCCTTCCTCCTGACCCCAACCAATGACCTTGAAGTTGTGAATGCCAACGCATCGTTCTGCCTTGCCGACGTAGACACCCTCACCGCTACCGTATTTGAGGTAGTCTTCACATAGCTTGAAACTTGCCACCACGGGTCCATTCTCCATAATTTCGTACTTTATGTTATTCACAACTGCATCCAAAGCAATCACCTTTGTCGCGGTTCGCCTATTATCCGCCACGTATTTCCCTACAGTTTTGCACATCCGTGGACACGTCAGATCATCACCCGAACAGATAGATCCTGGCGAATACGGTAGGCAGTCCTCTTCGACGATGCCGACCTTTCGGGCGTACTGAAGCACTTTCGACACATAACCTCCGGCACAGGGATCCTTCCTGAACAACACGCAATCATCGCAACAGGTCAACGGATCATAAGCACTGAAGGTTCTTGTAACACTACCGTTGGAATATGTACACGACCTATCGGTTAGCATAGAGGTAACAGCGAAGGCGTAGTCCGAGCTGCAGCATCCTTGATTATGCACCTTTCCAATCGATGGGCAACTGGGCCATTGACGGCGAGCGTCGAACTGCTCCGGAATGGCGATCACCGGTGGACGGGTTGGTTGATTGTTGAATCCGAACTTTTTGAGCTGGTTGTCGATGAAGGATGACTGATTTGATCCGGTGTCCAACCGCTGGCGCAGATACGATAAGGCGTTGTCAAGGCGGCCTCCTGATTCTTGTGACGAATCGAGCATCTGTTTCCAGTTGAAATTTGGGAAATCCGCGATCACAGAGGTGACGATCAGTATGAGAATTAAACGTTTCATGATGAAGTGCTGCATCAAGAATGGCGCACAGAGCAATGATTTGTAGGATCTAGGTAATCGATGTTATCAGAGAGAGTGTGAATCGAATCTCTTATCAATGCGATCATCTTATAACGATCGGGGGCATTGGTCTATTCAGCACTTGTTTATATAACCACAGACAAAGAGACATAACTCTCGCAAGTTGTTCATCGAACAAGTGTTTAACGTCCAATTTAAAAGCATCGTAGTTGGTAGTACTATCACCTGTGGCGCGCATAGTCAATTCCCTTGCGTTTGGCGTTTACACACTACAGTCATCTGTTCAGCGTACTACCCACCACAGTGTACTCAAGAGATGGCGTTAGTGTTTTAGCGACGATGTTTTACAGTGAGAAATATTCAATATGTTATGTCTGTTTGTCTGTGATATAATTATAAGAGGTTTAGAATTCAAGAGCAAATTTTCATTACGTCGAATGTAACAAAGGTAAACAAAGTCGAGCTATCAGTGTCAATTGATTCTCCTGCTATTACACTACACAGCCAAAAAAGTTGTTGAATATTACATCGAAACTGCTGCAACCAGGTCAATCCATCGGTTGTGTAATATCACATTGAACGATGTACATCGATTTTGCGAACAAAATTACATCCATTGATGTAATATTGTATCTGCTTTTTGCTATTACATCATTATTTCATACATCAGCTTGAATTACGTTGATCGATATTACATTTTTTTTTGCTGTGTATATACTGTCCGAATATAGGATCAAATCCCATTTTTAAATTTATTTGCCAGCCAAATTGCTTTTTGACGTAATCACCTTCCGATCAAGTAGTTTTCGATGTTACTTAAGTCACCCAATTTCTATGGAGATGCCGTTTGACTTATGTAACAGCGTTGAGAAACCCGTAAAAAGTGTACGTTCGTCGTTTCGCTTTCTCATTATTAAAGTGAATAAATCGAACTTTTTGTTGCTAAGATGATTTCGGTGGTCCTAAAATGATGAATGGGCTGCACGTAAGGAGACGTAATTGATAATTCTCCCGAATATCCTGGTAAATACACTTTGACTTAAGTAACAATAGGGGCCACCAAACGACGTATAATAACTTTTGACTCAAAAACCAGTATTTTTTAGCATGAAAGCTAGCGATTTGCATTTGTATGATTAAAACCCTGCTAAATATGTTAAACATTTCTATCACTATGAGATTATATGTGTTTACTTGGAAATAGGAATAACTTTTCGGTCATCAAAACAAAACTTTATTTTTCTCGGATTGGTGCGAATGTTACTTACGACATAATGAAAATTTGCTCTTGAATTGGTGTTTCATTTAAAAACGAGTTACATTGTTTACATTATTCCCTTTTGAGGGCGGGTGTCCCACCGTCGGTTTGTCGGTGCTAGAGCTTTGTGTAACTTTTGTTGCTCTCGTGTTTGAAGCTGTTTATATTTGACTTAGAAATTTTACTTCTTTGCATCGTCTTGGGTGATTCGAGAACGTTCTTTAATTATAGCTAATTTATCGCATTCACAACAGGAGTAAAGAGGCTACAGAGTCGCCGTCAACGCCACTATTCAGGAACATCCTCGAATTAAATATACCAGAGGAACTCAGACCAGCAGTTCACTTATAGATCTAACTACGAAATGTAGGTTCTAGAGTGGACTCAAGAGAAAGTGGCAGTTAATCAGACCCTATCCATTAGTACCCTTAATTCAAATAATGCTGCAACTCATACAGAACAAACTACTGAAGTCTATTCATCATGCTCTATAGTCGGTCTCCAACAATGTTCCCCACCGGTTCCAACTTTTTCCGGCCGCTGATAGATCGCTAGGTTTCTGGTCTGTCTTTGAGGGCATTATACAACCCTATGAACACAAAACACCAACATTTCGCGCACCCGCCACTTCCCGCGTCATCTTCAATCCGATTTACCCTTGCGATTTCAAACCAAATATTCAAGGTGTCAGAACAGAAAAACCGGGTTGCCGGAAAGAGTATTTTACAAACAATCGCAGCTTGCTCTATGACGGGCACAATCGGCACACTGACCCAAGATTGGTGTGCGGAGTAACCTACCCCTTGGATAGCACTGATATTGAGCATATTTGTAACCGATTTGCTCGCTTTTTCCAAAACATATATTTTGACGTAATCGAAATCAAAGCTACAGAAGACTTTATTAGGTCGCTGCAATGCTGAGAGCGAAGAGGCGCACTTAGCGTTCTATACAAAATAATTCCTATTATTGATTTTATTCCTTACATTCGATTTCACGTTTCGCGCGCCTCTTCGCTCTCAGCATGGCAGCGGCCTTAGTTGTTAGCAAGTCCTTATCAACGCTATTGATTTCAAGTAACAAGACGATAACATTTTTCATTCCAATTGTAACACTCCACAAGATCAGTCCAATTTAACTGAACACTGTTGTTTATTTACTTAGCGATTATGGGTGACTCACGGAAGGAAACTGTCCACGTAATAATTCCGTTTTCCGAGACTTGATTTGAAAATTGGAAGTTCCACGTGGCGAAGTACTTGAAGTCTGTCGAGCTATTGGATGCGATGACCACGAATGTACCAACGGCTGTAGCTGAACTGGAAAAAATCCAGAAAACGGACAGCAAGGCATCGAATGTAATAATTTCGTTCATTCACGATGACCTGGACCAACAATCAATTCGAAACTAACGATTTTAAATTGGCTCACTACTTGACTAGCCTATCGGTCCCAAGCAAATCGACTAACGTACCCCATTCTAGTCAAAATTCTAGTACTGCACAATGTTTGTTTTGATTCGCTATGAAAGTTTGACAGTTAAAATGAGAAGTTAGTGGATTTTGCCCACCCCCCTGAAACCCTGTCTGAATCCTATGATTCCCTGGTAACCATGGACCCAAAGGGTAAGGACCTCCTTCACGCGATTTTGTTTTGGTTCACCTAGCTGTTTTTTCTAGTGTACCTGGTGCACCCGGTACTAGAGCAAAAAACAGTAATTTGTACCAGAACAGGTGTCAAAAGTGACACAGACCTCGACACAGACAGCACAACTGTCAGCAAAAGCGCCAGCAAAAAAAAGCGCGGTACCCGCTGCCGTGGCAGTTCATATGCGGAAGCATAGAAGAATGGTAGGCGGCAGCAGTACAGTATCGGGTATCACACTCCGAAAAACTTCCTGCTAGCCAACGACGATTACCGGAGGCGGTGGATTCAGGGTGATGGTATTTCCTGCTGTGCACAAAACGACAAAAAATAGGAATTTTCCTGGATGCTGAATAGGTGCGCGTACTTACCAAATCTCCCGGATATCGATCGGAAATGTCAAACAGGGTAGTTTCTCATAGTTGACCATTTTGCTCAACATCAACAATGACATTAATCCTAGCCAGCGTAACCAGATTGTTTTAAAGTTTATCCGTATCGAAGGTATTAAAAAATCGGTATTTATCGGTATTTACTATTTAATTAATGTTATATTTTTGCCGTTTTTGACAGCAATTTTTTCAACAATGGTGACGACCGGAAATTGAGGGGAGTCGCTTTGTTAAATGGCTTTCTCATTCTTAAAACACTCTTTAATTTTTTAATTTAATTTTTAAAATTATCGTTGTCCTCAAATGGTGATCGAAATTGTGACCAAGTAGTTTTTTCAATTAACTATCATTAAATGAAACCAAAATATGGTAAATCAGCCACAACAACGACTAAACTATTGAAAATAACGACAAACAATATTTTCCCTTAAAAAAGGCCACAGCCCATGATCGAAATGTCGAGGAGATTACATCGTAGTCGTTGCAGTGTTTTCAGACTGAGAAAGCCGTTAATCAAAGCAAAAATTTTGCTTTTGAACTTTGATCGGAAAATTCCGGAAGAAAACTCCGGGGAATGTTTGAATTAGCTTCTGAACATCCAGAGAAAGACGAAAAAATCAGTCCTGGATGAAGTTTCGGAAATCGGAAGTAAATTTCCAGAAGTAGACATTTCCAGGGAAAGCCAGAAGAAGCTCGGAAAAAGCTTCCAATAGAAGTCGAACAAAAAAAAACCTTTGGCTTATGGTCAAACTTCCAGAAGAAGACGAAAGAAATTTCTGGAAAAAATTATTGAACTTCCTGGAGAAGACAAAAGAAACTTCCTGGAGACGCTGACAAAAACTTCCTACGGTAGATTGGAAGAAAGTCGGAAGCCAGAGCGCTTACGGAACAGTCGAAAGAAACAACGGCATAATTCCGGAAGAAATGGATTCCTGGGGGATGTTCTAATGATCTAGAAAATTTTCCTGATAGTCATAAAACATCCCTGAAGACTCCCAAATTTCCCTGAAGTTTTCGGAACATTCCTGAAATGTACTTAGGAATATTCCATAATTCCTAAAAACTCCTTAATATTTCTTGTAATTTTCCTGAAATTAGGGGCTGTTTTGGAGTTCTCTGGTCATCGGAACTTCCCTGATTACGATAAGACTACCGGAATATCTCTAATCATCTTTGAAGGTCTCTAGATTTTCTTGAAGATAACGAAATCTCTTAAGTGCTTTCACAATTTTCTTGAATTTATTGTAACATCAGAATTGAAGTTCTCTGATCTGCCAGATTTTGTTTTTAATTTGTAAAAGTTAACGACAGTGTCATTAAAAAGCAAAGAACTTCCCATAAAATGTTCTCATAATAATCTAATGTTCATGTAACTTTCCTTACGTTTCCAAAACTTGCATGAGCCCCTCAGGACATTGTTGAAGTTTTCTTGAAATTTCTTGAGTTTCTCAGAACTCAGTTCGCTGGACTTTTCTGAAATTTCCGGTTTTTCGAATGTTAACAGAAGTTAATGAAACTGTCTCCAATTTATCGAAACTTACACAAAAGTCTGGACTTTTCTGAAGTTTCAGAACTTCTTAAATGTTCCTGCAGCTAGTGTGGATCCGCAATAAAAATCTGATAGCATCTTTGAAGTGCCGGGAAAGTTGAAAAAACTGGCGGGAGAAGATTAAAGAATCATTCGAGCGAAGGCTGAAGAAGCTTCCAAGGTTGGTGGAAGTAAATTCCAGGGAAAGTCTAGTCTAGTCTAGTCTAGTCTACACATACACAGCCAGTACTTGAAAGAATCCTGGAAAATGATACATCTATCATTTTTCTTGTCATTATTAATGCCTGCTGCACATCAAGGATGTGAAACAAACAATAAAGCGGCCAGGCCTACTGTGTATCGTTTAGTTAATTTTTGTGGAAGTGAATGTTTACCATGTCTACTTAATAAGTATAGACAGTGGTTAACATGCCAACACACGGCGCCTGCACGGCAATGTGGGCCGTCAGAATGGTTCATCGGTTGCGAAGTGAAGTGCTTCTTAAACTGAAGCGATACATTTCTCAATGTTTCAACGTTATCCTAACGTAAATTTAATATTATCACCCATATGCCTGTCCACGCCCGCAACCCATCCACCACACAAAATCAAATAAAAACGTTTCTGTATGGCAAACACGTCCAGGCATAAACGAGAATATGGGTGTATATCTTCACTGTAACAACTACGGGTAATCATCGAAAATACTTGCATTTTACTCAGGCACTTTTGAGCAAACTGCAATCACTCTCTCATACTCGTAATGAGCCACGACCAAATTGGCACAACGACGCCCTATACGCTCTCTGACCAAAGCGCAGGGTGGAAGTAAATTCCAGGGAAAGTTGGATGAAACTTCAGAAAGTTTAAAAGTGAATAAAAACTTCCGGAAGTTAAATAATGTTCAAAAAATATACAGGTCTCTCACAAAAATTTTCTCCGAAATTCGAGTGCGGCAGGCAATAATAATTTTGATTATTTAAAAAAAATCGGTATAAATCGGTATAATATCTCAAAAATCGGTATTCTGATTAACCTGAGTTAGGAAAATCCTGTTAGTTGGATTAGCCAATAGCAGCAGTTGGCGCGCAATCCAGGTGCATCACGCCATGGATTACGCCAATAGGAAGCCGGTAGGGTAGAACAGCCTAGTAAGCACTTTAAGTGCATAAATAGGTAGTGAGCAGGTGGTTCGCTCTCTTTCATCATCGAACAGTTAGTGTACTCGGTTTAGTTTCTAAGTGAATAAAGTGTGTTAAGTGAAGTTTTAGCTTTTTAAAAACCTAAAACGTAACGAACGATCCTTAACTGGTGTCAGAAGTGGGATCCGCGAGTGTGGTGTTTTCAAAAGTGATAGTAAAGCTGCTCCCGTATCAACGAACCGCAGCAGCAGCAGCAGTAAAAGTAACAGCAGCAGCAGCAGCCTAGCGAGACCAGTTGAACACCGGACGACCGATTGCTATCCGCCACAAGCGCACCTTCTATGTTCTTCCTGTAAGTAACATTTCTTTTATCATACGCTTTATTCCAACAAGAAAATGCCAGAGACACGGCAAAATGAGATTGAGCAGCTCAAAGCCATGGTGCTAGAGCTTAAAAAACAACTCACTGCACGTAACGATGATCAAAATGACTATGACATCGATGAAATTCGCGCGGAGTTAGATGAGCTACGCTCGCAAATTAAAAAACCACAGGTTGGTGACGCATTTAAGCTTCCCGACCCTTTCAAATATTTGTCCGAATTTTCGGGCAATAAGAAAGAACTTTCAGCATGGCTGGAAGAGGTCGAAGACCTGTACAATGACTTTAAAGTCAAAACCGAAAACGGGGGGTTCTCCCTCAGCAGCCTCTATATAAGGGCTATCAAAAATAAGGTGAAAGGGGAAGCTCGGACGTTACTTTGTGCTAACGGCAACCCGAACACTATAGACGGTATCAAAAAGATTCTCGTCGAACACTATGGTGACGAAAAAGACTTCACCACGAATTTATCAACCCTATTCCGCACGCGGAAAGGTGATAAAACCCATCTTCGTTTTTACAATGAAATGAAAGAAACCAACACCAAACTGAAGGCCAATCTTCAGTCGAGACCCTTAACGGGCCATGAGATAATTGAAATTATCACCGTGACCAAATACTTAGATAATATTCAGGAGCCTTTAAGTTCCATCATCCGGAATTCAAAACTTAAAAACCTAGAAGAAGCATACCAAGCTGTGTTGCTTAATCAAAACGCAGAAATGCGGATCAAACCACAACCTTACTCGAACCAAAACCATTCAAATAAATTTAAATCATTCAAACCGCAAAATGCACAGGCGGGCAGTTCGCAACAATTGCAACCCAACACCCCGCATCCTAACACGGCGCACAAATATGCTCCATTCAAAAAACAGCAATTCTTACCGAGGCAGCGAGCTGAGGCTAACAATAATGAGTTGGAGGAAGTGGATGAACCCGATACTCCTGTTGAAGTGAACGATGACCTAGAATACTCAGACGAGGAACTAAATTTTCAGACTGCCAGAGGTGCGAAGAACCAAACATGAATTTCATTCCATATGTTCGCTTTTCAACGTCCAAAGGAATTTTAAACTTCCTTGTAGATACTGGAGCGAACAAATCCTACATAAACCCCGAACATGTCAAAAAATTTAAAACAGTTGATAACCCATCCGTAGTAGCGAATAAAAACGGAAAATTCTTTATTGATAAGGTAATTCACGCAAACCTTTTATCAGAAGCCTTCCAGCAAAAATTACCGTACTACGTTTTCAAATTTCACAAATTTTTCGACGGCTTGATTGGATACGAAAATCTCGCCAAAATGGACGCATTGGTTGATACCAAGCGTCATCATATGCGGATCGGCAACAAAACCTTTGAATTCTCGAAGTATCACCCTTCTTCAATAAACTTCCAAGAGCACCGAAGCAATATTGTGCCCATTTGCACGACGGAAAATGGGACATTTTTAATAGAAGAGGAGGTAAATCTTACTCCTCAAGTAGTTTTGCAGCCGGGGTTATATTCTGCAAAGGATAATGAAACCCTTGTGCACATTACTAAGGGATCAGAAGCTGTCTCCCACAAACTGGACCCCTTTCGTAACGATAATTTTATTTTGAAAGATCAAACGCCAGCGCGGCTCGATCTTCCGCTCGATCAATTAAATAAAGAGGAAAAGTCACGATTGATTCGTACTATCCAACCATTTAGAGACGTTTTCTTTCGAAAGGGACAAAATCTTACCTTCACTCACGAGATAAAACACCAGATCAACACCTCTGATGAATCTCCTATCCATCAGAGAACTTACAAGTATCCATACCATTTGAGAAGTGTAGTGTCGGATCAAATACAGAAACTTTTGGAAACGGGAATAGTAAGAGAATCTTCTTCCCCGTGGACATCACCCATATGGGTGGTTCCGAAGAAAATGGACAATTCTGGAAAACAAAAGTACAGAATTGTCATCGACCGAGGCAAACAAAACGTTGTGGCCGACGGACTCTCAAGAATCCCTCGAGCCGAATTGAATAATCAACTAGTCTTTGAAAACGAATACTATGAGAATCACCCAGCATATGACCCCGAAATTATTAACCAATTTAAATTGCAACTGATCCTTAGAGTTACTGATGACAAATCCAAATGCCCCCATATTAATGATTCTATTTTTCCAGGTTACACGCGTCATGTATTCCATCAAACCGAATATACCCAGAAGGATCTTCTAAAAATCCTAAGAGAATGCCTTGTTCCGGGCAGAAGTAATGGAATATTTGCCCCTGTCCAAATTATCCTATCCTGCAAGAAACTTCTTAACGATCATTTCCTTTCTGGCATGAAAGTCCACTTTTGTAACTTAAAGCTCCCCGACATCATCTCTGAGCAAGAACAAATTGATTTTATTAAGAAAAGCCACAACTTCAATCACAGAGGTTGGAGACTCACATATGAAGAGGTACAGAAGTCAGTGATCTTTCCCGGAATGATATCTAAAATAAAAAGCTTTGTGAAATCCTGTGAAGACTGCAGATTTTCAAAGTATGAGCGTAAACCTTTCAAAATTGAGATGACTCGACGACTATATGAGAGACCATTAGAAAACATCTTTATAGATGTATATGTTAAAGAAAAGGAAAAGTTTCTCACACTCGTCGACTCATTTTCCAAATTCGCTCAAATTTACAAAATCTGCAACGAAACCTCAGATGAATTGATTGAAACATTGATCAAATACTTCAAAACTTTCGGTTTACCAAAATTGATCACTTGCGATCAAGCAACTTCATTTCGAAGCCAAAATTTTAAAACATTTTTAGAAACGCAGGGTGTTGCCGTTCACTATGCTAGTAGTAGCAACAGTAATGGCATCATCGAAAGGTTTCATAACACCTCGCTGGAGATGTATATGGCAAATCGAAACAAAATTGACGAATTGACACTCTACCAGGGTCTTTCTCTGGTGACCGCCCTTTATAACGACACAAAACATTCGACTACGGGCCTTACCCCAAGACAAATTATATTTGGCACCTCTACGTCATTGGACATAAATGACATTAACATGACGAAACAACAAGTAATTATGACGGCCAAAGACCGACACAATAACAAGACTCCCTCACTCAACTTTCCTTCCACACTATGCTTACTTATAACAGGAGGAATGACAGACGTACACATACACGAACTAAACCACAACCCAGTAGCAGTAATACCGTTAGGACAAGCTAGGATTAGTAGTAGTTACGTCAGAATTTTACATAAAGTTGATATGCAAGAGATAGAAAAAGTTATAGACTACATAGGCATAGCAGTCACAGAAAAAGTAACCGATAACAAAATACTTGGACCCTTAATTAAAGCAAAACAAGAAAAATTGGGTAATACTTACAAGAAACTTAAACACTTGGACGTTAAAAGACAAAAAAGATGGAACAGCTTAGGAACAGCGTGGAAATACATTTCTGGAAGCCCAGATGCAGACGATTTAAAAATTATAAATACCACTACTAATCTGTTAATTGATCAAAATGATAAACAAATCCAAATAAACCAGGAATTCGAAGATAGGATAGCAAACTTAACAAAAAGCATATCAATATTAGTATTTGATCAAAATTTAATAGCAAAGGAAATAATAGATGGATTCGATTCAGTAAACTTGTTATTCAACATAGACGAATTGATTAATCAGTTAGAAATTATTGAAGAAGCAATCACCTTAGCTAGATTCAGCATCCCAAACAGCCGACTCATAACCAACGAAGAACTTCAAGCAGCACAACAATTCATAATCGACAATGGCCTCCAGATGGACCCTCTCGACAACGTTTTGGATATAGCCAGCGCATACGTCATGCACAACAGAAATTCCATAGTTTACGCCTTGAAAATTCCGCGAATTAAAGATGTCAACTATGAACTAAATTACATCCAACCAATAGTTAATAATGGTTCACGAATATACCTTCATTTAAATTATGTTCTAACAGGACCAAAATCATGGTACGTCAAAACACAGTGTCCAAAGATACGAAATTTCTACATCTGCAATAACCCACAACTGGAAGCACTAGAAGAATGTGCCCAGCAACTGTTAAATGGAAATTCAGCAACGTGCCCTATGGAAAGGGTATACGGAAACGATATTATAAAAAAGGTTAATGAATTTAATATCGTTGTAAGCAATGCAAATTTGACAATGTCATCAAACTGTTTGGCTCATCGTAAGCAACTCTTTGGATCGTTCCTCATATAATTTGCAAACTGCTCTATAAAACTAAATGGAGAGGAGTTTTCCAACTGGGACACCAGCATACCAGCCAGGTCATTTATTCCAACTATTGGATTGAAGGTAAATTCATCAAAGACAATAGATCGTATTCCTTTAGAATACTTACAGATGTACTACGTCGATCACCGGGAGCATATAAAAAAGCTCAACCTGACAACATCAAGTTTACAAGGCAACTTGGGAACGTTGAAGTGGCTATCGATTGGATCATTCTCAATAACCACACCAATCACTTTCGGAGCTATATTCGTTTGGGCTATAAGGAAATTGGCATCAGCATGCGGCAGAAATAGAAGCAACCCACCAGAGGAGGCGAACGTACAGGCGGAACAGGAAAAGGAACGCAGCTCTACTCCACCCCCCAGGCGACCGAGGTTAATTCCACAGTAGAAGAGGACCCCCAAAGACCCAGGACATAGCAGCAGAGGATCGTGAAAGCCGAGGACGGCTTTCCAGTCGGTCGACGGGGAGTAGTTAGGAAAATCCTGTTAGTTGGATTAGCCAATAGCAGCAGTTGGCGCGCAATCCAGGTGCATCACGCCATGGATTACGCCAATAGGAAGCCGGTAGGGTAGAACAGCCTAGTAAGCACTTTAAGTGCATAAATAGGTAGTGAGCAGGTGGTTCGCTCTCTTTCATCATCGAACAGTTAGTGTACTCGGTTTAGTTTCTAAGTGAATAAAGTGTGTTAAGTGAAGTTTTAGCTTTTTAAAAACCTAAAACGTAACGAACGATCCTTAACTCTGTATATCGGTATCTAGTTCGGAAATCGGTATAAATACCGATAAATCGGTATATCTGGCAACGCTGATCCTAGCTCTGAAGTTCAGGTAAGAAAAATTTTTAGGTTAAAACAAAACGTCAACTATTGTTGGTAAACAAACCGACAGCATTCCCCCATGCACTCAAAAATATAACTACCCACAAATCTAAAAAACCTACTACCATAGAGGTAACTCTAAGACCACGGGGTCCCAAAGAAAATCATTATTATTTTTGGCTCACTCAGTACCAGAACAATGGTCCCAAGCAGTCCCAAGCTATTTCACTCACCCCTGCATGTTCTGCATGAATCCACACACCCCTGATGTTATCTGTCAAACTTTCATAGCGAATCAAAACAAACATAGTGTAGTAATAGAATTTCAACTAGAATAGGGTACGTTAATCGTTTGCTTGGGACCAATAGGCTACTAAAGTGGTGAGCCAATTTAAAATCGTTAGTTTCGTAGTTGCGTATTACAATCCCCCTTATTCTGCGAGTCACGTGACTCTCTCTCACCGGTGAGGTGACAATAGTCACCTCGTGTGAGGTGACTCTCCATTTGATTTACATGGAGAGTCACCTCACACGAGGTGACAATTGTCACCTCACCGGTGACAGAGAGTCACGTGACTCGCAGAATAAGGGGGAATGTTTGTTTTTATTAGCTATGAAAGTTTGACAGATAAAATGAGGAGCTAGTGTATTTTCCTATGTTTCGAGGGGTGAATCGATTAGCTTGGGACCGAAGAGAGTACCAGAGCTGAGCCAAAAAGTTGAGCTCGTTTCATCGGGACCTTCTGGTCTTAGAGTTACCTCTATGGTTTTAGTGGGGCGCCAAATATGGAAATGCTAACATGAAGCTTTAGTGTGATGATTTATTAGCTAGAGAATGATCTTTAGAAGAGGGTAGGTGGATAGTTCCGTTAGAGTACGGCAGTATGAAAATTGAATAGAAGTTGAAAATGAGCGAAGGGCCATTAATGCGACAGTTTTTCAAGATAGACGCACATTTTTGCCTAACCCGTACGATGTACGCGGGGACTTGAAGTATGTCTACAAGTCCACAGGCAAAAAACTGTCGCATTAATGGCCCTTCGCTCATTTTCAACTTCTATTCAATTTTCATACTGCCGTACTCTAACGGAACTATCCACCTACCCTCTTCTAAAGATCATTCTCTAGCTAATAAATCATCACACTAAAGCTTCATGTTAGCATTTCCAACCAACTCTGAAAATCGTTAACTTCGCGTAAGAAGTAACATAAAAACACTTTGAATGAAAACTCATGATTTATTTTTTGTTCCGTTCTCATTTCCCAACCCCGTTTAACTACTACCGGTGCGGGCATAAGTTGCTATATGGGGCTCAGAAATAGAGATAGGGACCCGTATGGGGACTCCCGTGGCGGTGCTCTAAAGGAAGGGAAATTACAATAGGGATGAATGACTGTGACTGTGATTTTCAATGCCGACATTGTAATTGTAATTTTCATTTCATCTGACAGCACTGTCATGTGCAGCTGGAGAGGACTTTTAAAATAAGTCAATAGGGTAGGAACTACGTCGGCCTAATCGCCCATTTTGGGCATATCGAGCAGAAAACATCAAATATATCCATGATTTTGGAGTAAACGAGTCAATTATACGTTTGGTACGATACTTTAGTTCAAAAGCTACCAAAAAATGTCCATAAGATCGGATGGTATGAATGTTTGTGCAAAAATTATCCGAAAATTTGTAGGGCATATTATGGAGTTTTTTTTGGGAATGGTGCATGCTGGCAAACAGCTTTCTGGGAATCGGCTTTCGAGAGAATGTCATCCCTTCATCATACAAGAAAATGTGTAGAGACGAAGGCGCGTGGAATGCCTTCAACAAGGCTAATTGAATGCAAATATCACCAGAGCAGCTAATCTAATTAACAGCTATTGAATATCGATAATCTGCACGACGATACGAGAGTAAACATGTATGGCTTTCTTTCGAATTGAACAGTCGCACTTGTACAATTGAACCTTAGCAATGCAGTTTTGTATATAATTGTCTACCGATAGATTTGGAATTTCTATTTTCAAACACCTCAAAGAGTAGGTAAGGTAGGTACGAGTTTTTAAATCATAAATCAACACCAAGACAACATACACATATATATTTATATAAGGGAGGCTGATCATATCTTCTGGTAACTAAGAGTGTAGGAAATGTAATAATAATAATAATATAGTCAAAACACTTTGAAGGTGAGAATAGAACATAAAACAAAACCGAAAGTTCACTTACTTAGTAGAATGCATAACAAAAACGAAATACACCGACAGGGAAAATAAATTGCACTTTACTCCTCTTTGCTTCTAAAAGCTGACTGCATCCGCTGATTATCACTAGACTGATTTGGGTTCTTCTTTCTCTTGCTCTTTTTTTTTTAGATAATCTACAATTGCACCTCTGTCTATCTAAAATTGAAAAATTGGTTATTGAACAAATTGACCGCAGTCAAAGAAAAAAACGATATAGGTACCTCGCTCCCAAACAAACGCCACGGTTGCCCCTCGGAATGTGTATCCTGGTCCGCCTTTCTCTTGCTTCTAGTTGAACTTTTCCATTGCATGTCCCTCAGAAAAAGTAACATCAAATTAAAACACTAATATGTACACCACGTTTCAAATGTGCCAAGAAAAATCCCATAAACACTACAACAAGTAAAAGCAGCTGCCGCGGGTCGCCGCCGTTCATTTCCTTCGTTGCAGCCAGGTGCTCATCCGGCTGACGACCAGGGGCCACAGGATAATGAAGGCCAACAGCCGTGGGGAAATGTCCTGGAACGGCCACCAGGGTGGGAAGTTTTTGGCCGTCAATCGTTGCGACACCTGCTGCTGTTGGTGAGCGTTGCGCAGACCGGCCACGGATTGTTCCACCACGTTGATTCGGTTGTTGACCTGCTGGACGCTCGCGTTGAGCCGTTCGATGGCTCTGGTGAGCTGAGCGGTGACCTCCGCGTTGACACCATCGGACGATGTATTCATACTGTGGTACAGCTCCCGGTCCCCGCCGACCGCGGACGACTGCGACATTCGACTGCGGGACATATGAACGGATGCGGATTCGATCGGACGGAACGTGGATTCGGACTCCGAGTCGTCTACCGTGTCGATGTACTCGTCATCGCTAAGATCGGACTGAGCGCTTCCCGTTCCGTTCTGGTAGTGATAGTAACCATTGGTGAGTGGGGCCGGTTTTACCACGGTGCCGTTGCTGCTGCTGTGGTGGTAACCGTTGGTCAGTGGTTGCACGGCGGCAGTGACAGGCAACGGAGTGATTGGTGAGACACGGGCCGGGCTGGTGTCGCGCGATGCCAGCGGTGAGTTCGGGCGGGACCGCACCTTCTGGATGGCTTCCGGTGCTACCATCTCCAGATCGCTGATGCTGACGCCGCTTTCCTGATCGTACTCCATGAAGTTGGCCACGTTTTCCGTGTAGGACATGGTTTCAACGATCTGTTTGGGGGGAAATATTGGGTTTAAAGAAATAGGATTACTTCTTCGATTGAGGGCCTACCTTCTTCAGCTCACCGACGTAATTTTCCATGGCCACCTCTTTGGGCATTTCGCCCAACCGGTTCCATGCGTCCCATTTGGCTCTGGAAACAAAATAACCCGTTGACAATGAGGTTATATCTATTCGGTTTGATTGAGTCGCTACTAGACATACCTGCTAACAACATCCCAGAATGCCGGTCTCCGCTCGCAGCACTTTCCTTTGGTCGCTTGTTTGAAAAGCGAGTAGAAATTCAACAGCATATCATTGCTCGGCTGATACGGACCTGTTTGGGCGAACGAAAACAAACAACGAATTAAGCCATTATTTTATTACATGTTGCGCAAACAGAGTTCAATTCTCGGTCAAACTTAATGATAATTGCCTGGAAGCGAGAGACACATCGCCACAAGCAAGCTACTAATCAATTTAATCTGTTTAGCTCCCCCCACCCCTGCCCGAAATCAACGTTTATCAATAAGGTGGATATGATCATGTCTTTTCGGTACGTCTCATAAGGTGCGAAGAAGGTCATAACGATGATGAAGATGATGACGGTGTTTGAATTTGAAAAGTGGTTTTAAGCCTGTTGTCATTTAGTTTGTTGGACATTAGTACCTAGGTGCTAAGAGGAGGGGGCAACAAATGAAGTGCGGGAGGTGCTGCGTTGGGGTAGACTTAATAGCTTCCTTCGCGGCCAATTACCGACCACCGCCACCAACCGGCTCCAACACAACAGCATGAGTCTCAATAATTCATACAAGGTTCTGCTTCATGCAGAATGTGTGTATAGAAAAAGTGCACCATGTGGTGGTTAAGAGCAGTGGTGTAGCAAGACATACATTGGCGTACAGGGTCATATGGCTCGTACCTGGTCGCCTTACAACTGAATCTCAAATACCGAGCTCCATCGTCGATGCCGAGCCGAAGTCGATATCGAAAAAAAATTCAAGAAACTAAATAGGGCATCATAGCAGAGGCAGACTCAGGGGTTCCAATATTGGACCTAATGAAATCAAACTTGGAGAAATTTTCAAGAATCTGGAACGAAAATAAACATTCAAGACTACGGACATAGAATAAATTCTAAGGACCCAGATTTCAAATACATTAAGGGCCTTGCAAAAGTTTCAATGCTTATGAACTTTAATTAATGTATTTTAAGTGTGAATTTCCAGAGATCTCTGGAAATAATATCAAGGGAATTAAGAGAAAAATATCAGAGGATGATTTTTTAGGAAAGTGAAATCTGAGGATTCCTAAACATTCATCCCTTTCACTATCCCTCTAGTTATCACCTCACGGCTGATTTTGACCATAAAGCAGCTCTTTCAAAAAATGATAAACATTGACGTTGATGATCGAAGATGATCAAAATTCCTGGTCACTATAACTACTATATCTATTCCATATCAATCAAGGTTTTGTTTCTAGTGATCAACTGCAGTGTGGTGCATAGACATCGCACAAATAGAATCTACGGCTAATAATATTTGCGTACTCACTAGCGCCACCTAGCAGCAGAATTCTAAAATTATCTATTCTCCACCCAGACCTTCTGATCAACTTTGCCGAAAACATTACCCGTCTCAAGATATTGAGATACAGCAGCACATAATATTTGCATGTGGGATGCTCACAAACACCACCTAGTGAGAGATCTGTCAACCACCCGGCAGCTCGTGTCCCCTGATCAACTTTGCCGAAGATATCACTCTTCCTTATAATCAGTATCCGGAGACACAGCAGTACAACATATTTGCATGCTCACTAGCACCGCCTAATCCTAGCAGTCTATGGCCTCCTGATCAACTTTGCCAAAGACGTCATCCGTCGAAATAATCAGGATCCTGATATACAGCAGTTCCGAATATGTGCATGTGGGATGCTCAGTAGCGCTGCCCTAGCGACAGAATTTCGAACTTATCTGATCACCAGCCAAAAACCCTTGACTTTCTCATCAACTTTGCCCAAGACATCACCCTTCTAAATAATCAAGATCTTGAGTTACAGCAATACATGGCGTGGGGTGATTTGTTTTTTTTAAGGGGCCTAATTCTGACATGTTTGGATCAGTTTATGATCTTGAGGGTACGACACATCTAAATCTCAATATAGGATGGTCTCTCCATTTCTGGGCAGTAAATCTTCAGCATATTCAACAGCTCGGTATCTTATTTTGCTGGGTCTCAGTAAAAAACATGCCGAGATTCAGCTAATACACAAGAGTATAGAGTACGCTTTTAGAAGTTTCTCGATACGAATGAATAAAAGTGATTCACTCTCTGAGTAAGATTCGTTTTCAGTTTATCCAGCTAGTCAGCGACGCCAATCTCGGCAATACAATCAAAGTGTGTACGGCGTTTAAATTTTATAAGCTTTTAACCGATTTAACAGAAACTCAGTTGTGGCAATATTGCATGAAACCGACGAATCATCCATCTGAGCCAATTTGCCAAAGACTACAATCTTCTATCTAATGGAGATGTTCATTTAAAGCAAACAATAGGTAGCCAAATGGTACTCTTGTGCCGCTCAACTGAACTGTCCTCCATTTAATAGTTCAGCACTTGCTGCCACTCCGGCAAACTCAAGTCGACAGTCATATGCGGCAACCGCTGCATCTCGAAGCACATTTCCACAGCATGATGGTGCTCCCCCTTCACCAACTATTAAGAACGCAGACACTCTGCTTACAACGGCGAAACTTGTTCCACTCGTGAACAGAACAGCTTCATGCTGCCGTATCCTTCATCAAAAAAGTATGGACCGTGAATCCATCAAAATTGCCAGTTGGAGCGCTTTATCGCTCAGGAGCAAGAGCATCGAGTTCGTTGAATTCCTCCACGAACGAAACATCGATATCGCCATCATCACCGAAGCGCAACCTGAAGCCCGAGGTTAACGTCTTCCTTTCAGATTTCCGGCTTGTGAGGCTGGATCGAACCAGCTGCACGGGAGGAGGATAGGCCATCGCTGTAAGGAGGAACATCTACTGTCGGCTGCTGCCGAGCTTCCGGCTGAAGACGATCGAAGCCGTAAGAGTGGAATTTTCTCAAGGGGTAAGTCACTCAGTACATTGTGCCACAATTAGATTCGGCACAGCTTGGGCACATCCATCGGTACACCTTCGCCACAATCTGGTAGGCATTTGACTGTTGCTGGTCACTGAAGTTGTTCACAACATTACGTGCTGTTTGGCTATATATTCAGAAACATCTTCTAATTAAATATATCCGAGGAACTCAGACCAGCAGTTCACTTCTCGATTCACTTAGAGATTTAAATCCGAAATGCCACTAGACCGATGTATCTTTGTGATTTCAAAACAAAAAATTCAAGGTGTCAGAAATACCGGGTTGCCGGGATGTGTATTTTACAAACAATCGCAGCTTGCGGCACACTGAAAAAAAAAAGATGACCTAATATTACTGCCCCAAACAAGTCAACTTCAGGGACGAATTGGCAGCAGATCTGCGAAGAGATATTGTAAAGCTAACACCTGGCAACCTGAACGCCAAACATCAAGCATGGGGCAACAGTCAGCGGAACCAAAATGGCACCATCCTGTACAATAAACCTGCAGAAATCGCATTACAACATTTTAAGTCCGGAGACTCCCACCCGGTTGAGTACCACCACCATCGACATCTACATCAGCAACTTGGTCAACAACGTCTCGCAACCTGTTGTTTACCAAGAACTCAGCTCGAACCACTATCCGGTGGTGGCCGAAGTGGGTTCCTCCATGAACCGATTCGATGCTTCCCGACGCAACTATCACCTTGCCGACTGGGCGCAGTTCCAACGCTGCGTTGACACCAGCATCGACTATGACATACAGCCAGAAACGACCGGTCGACCGGTGTCTGCGCTCTATCGATGAAGCGATTTCCCGAGCCAGGGAGCAACATGTGCCAGCATCCAGACTGGTGATTAATACACTCTGAACCTTGACAGGCCCACTAAAGACCTCATGAGACTCCGCAACACCATTCGTCGGCAGTTCCAGCGTACTGGACTGCCTTATCGGAAGACCAATTGCAACCGTTTAAACAAAATCATCCAACCAGGGATGATGGATCTCAAAAATAACAACCTTTCGAAGAAGATTTTGTTTAGCTGTTCTGGAAAATGGCCTCCCCTTTCACCTCTTCATCAGAACTCAGATCCATCCTGACTCATAACCCCCGTTGAAAAAGCCAAAGCTCTTGGTCAACACTTTGTGAATTCACAAAAAATTCACGTCTGTTGCTGCATAAGAAGACGCGAGAACGAAAGAGTCTCCTCACCTCTTATACCGCACATCTGATAGCAGCCACTAAATCAACCAAGAGCATTGTTTTAGTACGAACAAAAACACCGGTTTAGCTTATTCACTCGAACTTTACTAATTGAGTCCGTACGATACAAAGTCTCAAACCACACTGCGCTATTGGCATTGACGAGAGCTCTGTAACTCTTTACTTCTATGGAGAAATCTCATATGTAACTGTCAGTCTATGTGTGAAACATGGCGGACTTTTTCTTATTCTCTCACTCCAACGCAAAACCCCATAAGGAACTGTCAAAATGTGTGTGAAGAAACGTCACTTCGGGACTGGTGTCAAGGCGAATGACCGAAAGGAAGACAGGAAGGTTGGGAGTGTTCACAAACTACGAACCAAGTAGCACTCATAAAGTACGTACTAATATTACAACATCTTCCCTGTTTTATAATAAAAAGTTAATGAAGGGGTCATAGTCTTTGTATTTAGTAGGCAAACGAATTTCTCTCTTCGATCTTTGATTTTTTTTTCTATCGATCCTGATGCTCGTCTAGGTGTTGTAATCCGCATCGGAGGCGGCACGGTATCCACTCCGACCGAGGATTCGTCCGACTTTGATGGATATTGAATCGTAACACTTTTGTCAGGTACCAACAACGAAGGGTTCTCCGTAACACTTATCGCTGGGACATCCTCATAGTTACCCAAGGGGTTGGTCACTCTACACAGTGTGCCAAAATCAAACTGGGGCACACCCGGGTGCAGTCATTGACGTTGTTTGGCACCAATGGTTACAATTTTTATGATCTTCAAAGTTACTGGCAACACTGAACTTTTTCAGTGTGCATGTGTCAAAATTTGTTATTGATGTTGCCACTCCTAGTCAAATTATTTTAAAAACAACCGTGAATCTCCACCAAGTCACGCCATGAATTTTCAAAATCGTTACACCCGTGACGGCAGTCGCATCCACATTTCCTCCCATACGATGAACAGCTGACAGTGGTATCTTGACCAC